CACACACACACACACACAGTTGGTGATCAAAGATACAACATCCAGCAGATCAATTTCAGTTGCGGTCTGTACCGGCCGGGGTAACAGCTTGTCTGAACCGGTCCCCACCTACAATGTCAGTTCCCAGGTGATAAATCACAGACGACAGAGGGCATTACACGCACAAACGGACCGCTGCTGCCGCACGTTAGAAGCAATTAATTAGCTGGCTGACACTCATTTATCATTGCGGCAATAAGATGAAAAGTCAAGAGTTTATTAAAGCCCCACTTCATTTTCAAGAGCTCGAAGCCACTGGCTGAGACACCTCACACACACAAGCATTCACACAGACGCGCGGTAATTCATGTAAACAAGTGTGTAGCAAATATCGGTTTTAATCAAGTATACATGTACACATACTAAATACAAGTATCACACGATAGAAAGCTACGCTTCTGTCCAATTCCACAGTATTGTAATTACGGTGATACCTCTACTTACGAAATTAATTGGTTCTGGATGAAATTTCTTAACTAGAAATTTTTTTAAGTAGACGCGTTTTCCATGTAAATGCCCTAATCCGTTCTAAGCACCCCCAAAATTCAGACATAAATGTTTTGAAGAGCATAAAAATATATCAAAATATACAAATACATGTTACAATTAGATTATTGCACAATAAATGAGAGTTGTGCATAAAAATGATGGTCATTTCCAACTTAACTGCTTCTTCCTCTTTTTTGCCCTCTTTAGTTCTCTCACATATCTATCTATCTAAGCGCATAAACACATACGGTAGAAGTCCCTCTTAGCCAAAGGGATGCCAGGATGCTGCTCGGTAATAGCCAAATGGCAGAGCAGCTAAAAGTATGCTGCGTTCAGGAAACTCGGAGCAGCAATAAGCAGGCTACACATGTACTGTATTTTTACCTTTTCGTGTCTTGACATTTCTTTTGTAACAAGAGGCAATATTTTCCTGTTGAGGTGTTTCGTAACTTAAACATTTCGTGTGAAGAGACATTCGTAAGTAGAGGTACCACTGTACGCTCGGTTAAAAAGAAAAAAATCAAGTAGGTTGGGTAATTGATGTAGCCATGCATGGAAAGCAGCTTTTAGGCAATGTATGAGAAAGGACGAATTAGGATTCAGCAAAATCACGCTTATATCTACAATGACCAATGCAATTCCTTGTTCGCAAAAGTGGTAAACACCATGGGCATTCCGGGTCTAGAGAGGAGCCTGCATTCTCCACAAAGTGACATTTGGGGGCACAACGTGACACTTGTCACGTGCCCCGGCAGAGGAAAAAGCAGCGGGTCTGACAGTCCTGACTGAGGACCACTGGGGACACGGAGACAAAGCTGGGCTTCCTTCTGAAGACATGTCAGTCAACTGTCAACTTCTGGATATGATGAATGAGGAAGACTTGCAAATTCTTTCAAGACAATACCATTTGTATTCACGTGATGCAATTACTACTCACTATTCTAATGTGTCTACTACAAAATCTGTAATGTACCATTATGCTACGTCACAAACAGGAGTGTTTTTCGATACTGTACATGACAAGCTTCTCTCAACCATCTCTGGCCTTTCACTTAAAAAAAGAAATATGCACACGCACGCATAACACAAGGTTGTTTGAAGTTAATTTCGCATTCGTCAAAATACAGCTTAAATACTTGGAAAGACGTGCGGGGGTACTTTCCATTGCATGGGATCCACTATGTACAGTACCTGGTGAACTGGCTTTACAAGTATGCCAAAAAGTATCACATAAACCACTGCTAGCTGCTTGTTGGTCGCTCGAATTCATCATTGCCGCGTCCTTGTAGTTTTGAAAAATTCACAAGGAGAAATAATGAAAATAAACATCCTGTTGGGGCGCCTGTTCTCCGTTTGACAGCTATTTATTTCCTGGTTCGCAACAGTCTCCTCTCGAGGAAACGATTATCTAGACCAACAACCACCATCGCTTCACTGTGCTGGCGCTACCAACCTCCAACAAAACGAACATGAGAAATGGACTTTACTGCCTTTTCAGAAGGAAAAAAGTGCCTTCCTCAGCAGTGAATGGATGGATTAATCCTAATGTCAATTACCGTATTTTCCGCACTATAAGGCGCACGTAAAAGCATTCAATTTTCTCAAAAGCCGATAGTGTGCCTTATAATCCGATGCACCTTATATATGAATCAATATTTTGATTTCTTTGACGTAGTGTTTTAAATTTTCAGTAAAGCGCTTTGTTACAGCTGCAGCGGTTGTGAAAGCACGATAAAAATAAAGCTGTACTGTGTTCCCTTTAACGTAGCTCCATCAAGAGGATGCATTGTGCAACCGCAGCCACTATTGTAGCCTCGATTCTATGTGCCTTATAATGCGGTGCACCTTATATATGAAAACAGTTTTAAAAGAGGCCATTCATTGAAGGTGCACTTTATACTCCCAAGCACCTTACAGTGCGGAAAATACGGTACAATTGAATACAGGATTGTGTGTGTATTTTTTTATGCATAACTGTCATCAGTAGTGACACAGAAAATATAAAAGACACATTTCATCATCAATTAAAATTCTCCTTTTCTAAAATCAGACTGATACCGATAACTTACTGATGTCTTGACACGGCATCCCCACGTTAGAAAATACATCACATAATTAGTGTTGCTAAATGTAACTAAAGAAATCAACATTGAAAAAGACTAATTACTATATGATACTAGAGTGCCAAAAAAAAAAAAAAAATAATCCTAGTGTCTCAACCTAGTTCATTGTAGCAGCAGTTGAGCAGTTTAATGTCAGGATGCGCTGTCTCTAGGTTGAGACAGTAGGAACCACTGTAGCAGCAGTTGAGCAGTTTAATGTCAGGATGCGAGTGAGTTCATCTCAGAGCAATTCTGCATGTCAGATTCTGTCAGTTTCCGTTGGATAAGCTGTTCGTCCAGTTTGGATCAGAGGTCATTGTGGTCAGTCTTGGGGCCGGTCTTGTTCTCTCTCTCTCTCTTGTTCTTCAGCCTGTATCAACCGTCAGTCTTCAAATGCCTCAATTTTGCCTTTGTTTTTCGCTAAGCCAACGGTCATCGGTCCCAAGTTTTTATGCCAGGTGAGGTGGCTGCCCCGGCTCTCACAACCTGTGCAATGCAAAGATAGAAAGAGTCAGGGCAGCACACCTCAAACCCCGACCAAAAAAAAAAAAAAAAAAAAACCCAACCAAAAAAAAAAACAAAAACCTCACAACTTTTAAACTACCTTCATATTAAAAACCTATTAAATATTTCTAAAAACCACAACAAATAATCCACAAGTTTACCTTTAGCTCTAATTACATCGATGGGAATGTGCATTGTATTGAAACTACATTCTGTTCTCAAAGAAGGATCTGAACAGCAAAATTCACAATCTTTACATGATCCATGAATTGACCAATACGTATTGTGACTGAATTAGACTTGGTATCTCTTGACCATGCTCTTCATATTTTGACCTCACGAGACCAAGACAGCGCCTAACAAGTGATCGACAGAGCAAAGTGGTAAACAGAGAGACTGAAAGAGTCACAGAGAGGCATATAAATGGCAATACCAGGACATGTATTGGTCATTTCATGGATCAAACACCTGTCGTGACTGTTGTCATTCAACTCCTTGTTAGCGAACAGCAGGTATTGCAGAAAGTACTGAATGATTGAAGGCACAGACATGCAAAAGTTGAGAGAAGCCCGACATTGCACATTTTTTTTTTTTTGCAGGTAGTGTATACGTTCAATTGGTTCTCCACACAGTCATTATTGTGCATGCAGTGATTTGATGAGAATGATCAGAGTACATTTTTCACATAGTGTGAAAATGTTCTTCCCTCTCCAGTATTTCCGAACCTTTACTGAGCCAAGGCACCCATTTTTTCCCCAAGCTAAATCTCACGGCGCACCACTAATCAAAAAGTATAACTACTGAAAAAAACAAAACAAAAATTTATTTAACCTCCATTTACGTACAAATTTAATTACCGTATTTTCCGCACGGTAAGGCGCACTAAAGGCATTCAATCTTCTCAAAAGCCGACAGTGCGCCTTAGAATCCGATGCGCCTTATATCTGGATCAATATTCTGATTTCTCGGACGTAGTATTTTAAATGTTCTGCAAAGCGCTTTGTTACAATTGCAGCGGTTGTACAAGCTCTATATAAATAAAACTGTATTATATTCTCTTTAGTGTAGGTCCATCTAGTCAGTGGATGCATAATGCAACCTCAGCCACTAGTGTAACTTCAATTCCATGTGCCTCATAATCCTCCATAAGAAAATAGTTTAAAATAGGCCATTCATTGAACGTGCGCCTTATACTCCGAAGCGGCTTATAGTTTGGAAAATACGGTACTCAGATGAAATCCGGGCCTGCTTAATCGAACAAAAATCTGATATACTTGCAGGAAGCCATGCCTAACTCTGTTGTATGAATGGCAACACAGTTTATTGTACCTTCTTTGATTGTTCTGCCCTTACATCAATGGCATCGAAACTGAAGATGACGATGGTTGGCATCGATGAGCAAAGATACTGTACATTTGCAAATAATAATAATCTTTGGACAAATACGTCAAATTGAATCATTTGTGATTATGATTAATACCAACTTTTTTTATTTTATTTTTTTTTAATATCCCGCGGCATGACACTTGGGTGCCATGTCGCCCTGGTTGGGAATCACTGCTCAGTACAATTCCAATAGCACAGCACAATCCTTTTATGATGTTCGCACCTCTAATTCCAAGAAAGAATCAGGCTAAATTGTGCGATTCATTACACCTTAATGAAGTGTTCAAATGTATGTGGCAGGTCAATACTGAGGGCTTTTGGAAGAGATAGGGTCAGTTCCATATGTCTGTTGAGCCTCGGCGGTAAGGACCTAATGAAGACTGAACTTTAATTATCAGGACAGTGCCTGTGATACATGCACACACATCACATGCCAAGCCTCACGCCATCTACGACCCACATACACTCACATTCTCTCACCTCACAAGATTTTCATTGTCACCCGGTCCTTTACAGGTTGTACACTCGGTCCTCGTGTCGTCTGCTTTGTTTTTTTTGAGCACGGCAGACTGCCGCTGTCTGCGCTCCCTGGGGAGTGAATCCTATGGAAACGTAGATGAGAAGAATCAAATGCTGAATGGGGCAAATATTTCTCAGTGGAATGTATTAAGAAATGAGTGTGGTGTACTAACTAAAGCCAAACAATTCAACTAAAGATAAACAATTAAACAGACTATTTACTATTAAGGTTTGATCCATGAGGATTGTACTTCATCAAACAATGTCCAGTATAAATTTTCATGCACATGATCACAGTCCGATCATTCTGATATCTGTCTAAACACGTCAATAGTAAAGAAAAATGTCGTACTGTCAAATAACGGCAACTGATTTGCATCCATATATTTGATCAAAATAAACTAGGTGCGTCAGAAAAGTTCCGGGACTCATCGCCCACCCCAAATATATTTCAAATCCAAATTACAGGAGAACCCCAAGTTACGAACGTGCCTTCTGACATACAATTCGAGTTTCATATGAAAAGTTCATAGAAAAATGACCTGTATTTACACACTATTTGTGATAAACAAAAGACTGGCATGGACGAACAGACAGATAGATCGATGTTGTGGTCCTTCTCGCGCTACGTAACCATCATTGACAACGGACATAAACTGTTCTAATAACAGTAATACGGAGGTGAAAGTTCCACCTCCGCATCCTCGATCAGCCAATCACAAATCTAATACCCGTTTGCATTTGTGGATGACATGTCGCCTTGTTTGTTAAATGACCAAAAATTCAAAACGTTTATGAATGAACGTGGAAGTTGGTCACACGTCGACACACGGAAATTTTGCCAAACAAGTAAATACGGCACAAAATAGAATGGCTCTAAAAAAAAAAAAAAAAAAAAAGGCACCTGCACCGGTACGCTAGCTTTGGTGTTTTACTTTTTTTTTAGACTGATAAATGGGAAGGGCTCGCTTGTGATTGCGTGGGAGAGGCAACAAAAAAAATTCTGAAAATGATCAAAACCAAATTGGTAGTGAATTCATCTTTTAAATGACAATGTGACTTACCACTTTCTATTTCTTTTTAAACAGAAAAAAGGCAGTGACAGTGAAATGAAGCTTCGTGAAGCACTGAAGCTTTGCTACGAATTAGTTTGCTCATGGTTCAAAGATTCACGTTGCTTCTTTTGCTCTGCAGTGCCATCAAGTGGTTAAATTAAGAAGACCAAGTAGTCAAATACAGTCATACCTCGGTTTTCGACCATAATCCGTTCCAGAAGGCTGTTCGAAAACCGATTTGTTCGAAAACCGAAACCACGCTCTTTTAAAAAAAAAAATCTTTATTGACCACGTCTGTTCACCATAGAACGCTAAACGAGGAAGCGTCACTTCCTAGTCTACCCGAGGAAGCGTCAATTCCTCGTGTTAGGAAGGCGAGAGGAGTCAAGTGACGCATTCAAGTGCGCTCAGTTTGTTCCAGAACTGAATTTCGGTCGCCAACCGAAGCATAAAAAACTCGAAATTTTTGGTCGAAAACCTATTTGGTCGAGAACAGAGACGTTCGAAAACCGAGGTTTGACTGTATACAGAATGAAATGAAATGGTAGGCTAAACAGTGACAAGACAACCACAAGTGGCAAAATTGCAGTTTTAGCAGTAGGTTTATCATACAAATATGGCTTAAGGAAGAAACCGAACATTGTAAGTACTGTTTATGAAGATACATATCAGTTTAAAACTGTCAAAATCTATTGAGGGGATCGAACCCAAGACACTGTGACTGGAAGAGCAACACTCTACAAGCTCCTCCAACTTAACATGGATGTATGCTGATTTGCAACAAGCTAACAAAGATACAATGGTTCCACCAGACCTGGGCAAATTACGGCCCGCGGGCCGGATCCGGCCCCGTTGGTCTTTTTAATCCGGCCCGGTAGTTGGTACAGTACACAATTAAGGTTCGATGTAAATGATTGCATTCATTTCATTTGGACGTGTAATGACAGGCATTTCAACGCCAGGTGGCGGAGTTACTTGAAGTTGCAGAGCACAGGGAGGGAGAGGAAGACGATACGGAAGCCCGCAGTTGCGCTAACTCAAGTAACTCCGCTCGATACGACGGAATGCGTGTGTCTGTGGCGCAATTTACAATCAATGGATTCAAAACGACGACATGCAAGTGACTCTTTATTGCAGTGAGTTTTACTGGAATTGTGAACATTTTTACGTCCTGTATATCATGGCAGCCAAAGGAAGAGGAACAGTCATGGCCGCGAAAGTGAAGTGTATCTAATTAAACGAAGCGGGTTGCAAAGTACGAAACATTCGAATAAATAAACGTTTCCTGGAATGGTTTGACTGTTATCGTGCTAAAAGCTTCCCGCAAACTGGACCGCTAATAAGAGAGCAATCAAGTTCCATAGCGCTATGGGTGTCGAAGACTTCGAAGTGTCCCGTGGCTGGCTTCAAAAGTTCGTTGCACGACATCAGCTGAGCAACGCTGTCTTGTGTGGTGATCGAGTGGAGGTCAAGTTCGAGACAGTGAGTGAGTGGAAAGAAAGCCACCAGGTCTTTTCGTCTCATTTTGCAGCAAATAGTCCTAACTTTGTTATATTTTGTCATGTACCTGTACTGTATGCTGCAGTTTTTTGGGCAATATATTGTTGCACTTTGTTGCTTGTGTTGTCACACATGTATGTTGTTAACATACTTGGACGTTCATCCAGGACATATACCACAGTTGTTTCACTGTTCTCATGAAAAAAAAAAGTATGGTAATACTTTAATGCTTTTTCTGTAAAATAACTGCACTTTCATTGTCTAGCAATAATACATACTCTTATCAGCTTCTGTTAACAATGTCATTAACTTATTTCAACGTAGAAATAAAACTGAAATCGGGAGTAGATTTCTAACTTTTGGTCCGGCCCTCCACAATATTTTCTGCTTCTCATTTGGCCCCCCCGGGAAAATAATTGCCCACCCCTGGGTTACACATTGGCCACAATAGAAAACAAGTGCTAATCGTAATATTTCGACACTGAGTATTCTTTTCTCCCCCACAGAGGAACTCTAACTCGCCACCTAACTTCACAACAAACGCTGACAACACCCACAAAGCGGCGCTAGGTCTTGAGTGTTCATAGCAAGTACTGATACATTATATGGACCAACAATGTCGTCTGCATAAACCGAAGCCTCGTTTGTTATCATTGATGTGATTTTCTTGGAAATGACAGGTTTCAAAAGGGGGCTTCATTTGGCACACCCACTCTTTCCTGAGACGCGCCCCAAAGACTCTCATAACATACCTAGAAAAAGGCAAGTTTCTCTGGATCGGTTTATTAAAATCGACCAATGAATTAAAAGAGAAACATACAGAAACAAATACTTTAACACTTAAATCAGAATTCCCCCATGTTCCATGGAAGACTCTTTTTCAGTACAAGAACCGCAGTCCTCCTTTTGCTTCCTTAGTTGAAGTTCATGCACAATAAAGAACAATCATGCTTTTGGTTGTGTTTTACCTGTTATGGTATAGTATGGTTTACTGATGTCTATACTGCATTGTATTTTTTTAACCAAACACTGGTGAAAAAATAAATAAAAATAAAAATAAAAAAAGCATAATTTTTGGGACCGGGACAGATTCATTGTATTTCCATTGATTTCATCGGGAATCATTACCTCGACTTATCAATGTTTCAAGACACGACCGGTCTCACACAACCAATTAATTTAATAATTTCAGGTTCCACCGTAGAAACTTTCCTCTTCAAAGTAATCCCCGAGGAGTTGAACACACTTTCCGAGTACTCTCTGGCGTGCCTTCGTGCACTTCTACCCTAGAAACTGTTTGGATGGGCACCATGAGTAGGCCAATTGTCATGGTGAACGAGCGATGAGTTGTCCCACCACAACTCTGGCCTCGTCTTGCATACTGAAAAAAAGCAAATTCTCCGAGATCTTTTTGGAGACGTGCTGGCTGGTTATCTGGACTACACTGAAGGGGAAAACTCATAGTTTGGGTTTGAAATATATCTTTTGTGACACCAGTACTGGAGGTTTTCTGACACATCTCGCAAGTGAGGGTACATTGAGGTCTTATGTGTAATCGAGTGTTTCGATGATCAGTCACTCTTAAAAATTAAATCTCCACAAAGGCAATTCTGGCATTCTTCGAAATGAGTGACAAACCTCAATCTTGTCTTCTCTGTCGTCACAGAAAGGGATATTCTTTCTCTTCTGCCCTCTGGTTCTCTGGGGACAAACAACAAAAATAATAATTGAATTAAAAGAAAAACAATTCAAAATAGTTTCCTTCATTAATGTCATGTATTATCTGTATTGTTAAACAATGAATGGAATATTGTGTGAATCACAATAAACGAAATACAAAAGTTATGAAGACAATTAATTCAACAAAAAGGCACACAAACCTCGTGGGCTTCACATCCAGAAGGGGCTAGATATCCTTAAAAGTCTTACTTGTCTCCTTCTTCCTTCGTTTAGTCAGTAGTTAACTATGCTTTTGGTATTGCCTTCGTTTCATCATTGCTGCGCAGAGCTCATAAAGTAGTTGTCTTTTTGAGTTTGTGTTGGCGAACGCACGTGTCAATTAGTGTCGGGCAGAACCTCTTTTAGGTTAAAATTGGCTCCCGCTGACAATCACCACTACATGGCGTAGGAACACGAACAGGGAAACAACTCAATGGGGAATGTAAAGACAGTTACACTCTCTTTATATTAGGCACATCGGATCAGAGGGCGTACTGTTTGCTTTTGAGAAAATTGAATGCTTTTAGGTGCGCCTTATAGTGCGGAAAATACGGTATTCATATTTTTTGCAATTTATTTCAAGGGTCTGAAAATGGCTGGTACTGAAAGAGATGTAATATATTACCTGCAATGCAGTTTTACCACACTATTTTGCTGATTTTCCTGTTATTATTCTTCATTTTAAGTTGAACCAGACAAGAAAATTTTGTGAGGGGAAATTTACTGCACAAAAACCAAGACCATGAACATTAGGGGCAGGTTCAGAAATTCTTTTTCCATCCGGATTGCCTGACACATTGGTGGACCGTGTCTCCAGTTGGGGCTCGCAGTGCATTTCCCAATGTGCCCTTGAGCTTGTTGTGCACAAAATCCCCGTTCTCTCATCATCGGTGTCATGAGGGAACTCGAGTATCCACTTATTTACGTGTACACTGTCAGGAAGAATAAGTTAAGCAAACCACAGCAATAATTGTTAATGCTATGACAGTAACACACCAAATAAGTTCAACTTCAAAACTTGACCACACCAAATAATATACAGTGGTACTTCTACTTACGAACGTCTCTTCATACAAGTTACAAAATGTCTCAATCGGAAAAAATACAGTATGGGCAACTACTCCCAGCTCCGAGTTTCCTGAACGCAACATACTTATAGCTGCTCTGCCATTGGCTATTACCGAGCATCTTCCTGGCATCCCATTGGCTAAGTGTGTATGTGTGTCAATAGATATGTGTCTATGAGGTGTTCCGATAGTTTGACGTAAATGTAAGTCACCCAGAAAAAGTGTTCAGCAGTCGGGTGATCGCTCACTATGCTGATGCTTGCCTTGGACATTTTCGAAGGATTGTTAAAAGCTGACAAAAGCAAACGTCCTTGGATCAGTTCTTTACAAAACGCCAGACAAAAAACACTTCTGAGAGAGAACATGAACTAAAGACAGCAAAAAACGATGGTGACACAGTTAAAAGTGAAATGACCATTTTATTCTTTATTTGTTTTGTTTTTTCACATTATGCACGACTCTCATTTATTGTGCATGTATTTGTTACATATTTTTATGCTTCAGGAAACATTTGTCAGAATTTTTGGGGTGGGGGGGGGCTTGGAACGAATTAGGGTATTTACATGGAAAACGCGTCTCTACTTACAAAATTTTCTAGTTAAGAAATTTCTTCCAGAACCAATTAATTTTTTAAGTAGAGGTACCACTGTATAGACATCAATGCCTTGGATGCTTTTATTTTGAAGTTGTTCCCAGCACACTGCGGCCTAATGGACTTGACTCCTCTTCCAGTGCCATCACAAAAGGTTGCTACCGATGTCAACAATACATCATCGATTGAAATAACTTTCAATTGGTAAGTAAGGGCATACCCCCCCCAAAAAAAAAAACCTGACGTAATTACACTGCTACTGTATTGTATGGCGCTTGTTGCCAGCGTTTAGCGGGGGCTGCACCCAAGTGCCACATATAAAAACTATATAAGGACTGCCAAGCTGTCAAGCTTTTGTCGGATCATTCTTCACCTTGCGCATGACTCTGTCTCAAGTGTTGAATTTTTCACTCTTTCTTGTTCACGCCACACACACATTTGTATTTTCATAGTCGTCTTTTGTTGTTTTAGCATAGTCTCGGCTTTTGTTTCATGCGCGCTTTGTTGTTTTCTTTCTCCTTGTCTTTTCAAGAAAAGCAATTTACGTTTATATTGATCCTTGCCTTTTGCAAGCGTTTTTGGTTTGTCTCGTTTTTCTGGTTATTGTAACTCGCGTCATTTGTTGCACTTTGTCGGTCTTGCACATATTTGTATTCATCAACTCTTTTTGTTCAAATTCGCTCTGAGTCCACATTTTGAGAGTCTGGTTCAAATGCTTTATGGATATACATTACTGTATGTACTGCATCATGGGTAAAAGCTACCCGATGGCACAGTGTGCTCTCTATTTTTTCCCCATCAACTATGCAAAGAATAAACAACACATCTCGGGACTGTTTGCGTGTGCTTGTGGAGCTGCTGGGCAATAACTTTTCAAGCAATCATAAATATCAACAACATATTTAACAGACAGTGAAAACAATTCCATCTGTCGCTTTTGGCTCTATGATACACACCAGATGGAATACTTAGTGTTAAGATCGCTTCCTCTGGAAAAAAAAATAAAAAATCCTACTCAACTGCTTCTTCATTCTTGTGTTTATTTCATATTTGTTATGCACCGGTTGTCTCTTAGAGCAGTTTGGCTAATCATAAGCTGATAGATGCTTCGGTGAATAGATCGAAACTCTGCTCAGGTGAGGATATTAAAACTGCTGGCAGCTTGAAAATCACAGAGGCAAATTCAAGCTTTTAATCAAGTACTTCTGAGCATCTCTCACAAGTGTGAATCGTTTCACAGCAGACGATATTAACAGAGTGCCAGTCACAAGATATTAATTTATTGAACATTTACTGCTGATTCATGACATTGAAATAGTATTTTTAAGGGGGATGTCAAGTCAATTCTTGACAAAATGCGGCCCCGCAAGTCGAATAATAATAAAATAATGTGGAATTGTGGAATATGATTTGATGAGCAAAATCCACCCATTTTTATCCATCTGAGAGTGCCCGCCATGTTGCAGAGATGAAAGTGGACTTTTCTGAAAATTCCGGAATTAAAAAAAAAAAAAAAATACACATACACACACACACGCACGCACGCACGCAGTGTGTGTGTGTATACATATATATATATATTGTCAAGAATTTCCGCATTAGCATGAATCAAAAATGACAACTTCCCCCAGAATTTGCTGCATCAAAGTATATTACGCGACTTCACATGCTGTTAACATTAACGTTTGGACGGGCGAAGGCATTTCAAGGGTCCTACGTGACACAACGGTTTGGAACTATTCATTTTTTCCATCGAAGTAATTGCAGTTTCCTTGGCTTTTCACTCCCTTGAAATGAATTATGGGCTGTAATGCTTCTCAAAAATACAACTAATACTACGACCACCACTACTACTACTACTACAGACTTTTGCTTTTTCTTTGGCCCACTGTGTGCACGGATCCTTTTACAAGAGTGAAAATGACTTTTTTTTTTTTGGTGGCTTTTTAAATCATTTACCCATTTCACGAGTGAAAAAATATAAATATATGATATTTCTTGAATAAAATACATAAAAAGTTATTGCAGAATGTCATACTGTTTTATGCTTTTTCTTTGGCTCATAAATTATGGTAGTATTTCTTAAAGTCAATTAATTAAAAGATAATAATTTTTAAAATGTGGGCTTTCTTTGGCTTTTTTGCATGTCATTTTAGAAGAATTAAAAGGTGTTACTTAAATTACAATAATTAATAGCAAAAGCTATTTCTGTTAAAGTATCAGACACAAAGCAAATTTTCCTCAATTCTCCGGAGAAATTTTCATAAAAATTTGAAAAACCCGGAATTCCGGGAAAATCCGGAGGACTTTCATCTCTGATGTTGCCACTTCCTGTTGACAGACAATAACATGGCATTGCCTAAGGGCTCAACGACACATGACCAAACCCAGAAAACAGGTGAGCCATGATTGGTTGTTACCAGAGCGACCCCCCCCCCCCCCCCACAACCACACAACACACACACAAAAGAATACAAAGATGAGCCCCCAAACGTTAGACTGGTGAGGCAACATGAGCCGTTACAATGACAAGCGATTGAGTGAAGAGGCTAAAGCCTCAAAAGAGAAAGGAGGTGCTCATGATATCCATGTGAAATTCGTTTGCTCCACGAGGAGAAATTTAAATTTTAAATTATACTTTGTTCTACTGTGCTTGCTTATAGAGCATCCACAATATGTGGAAGCTTTCATGATGAACGTGAAGACGCTGAGAAACGTGTCAGCGGGCTTGCTGTGTATGCTGTGATAACTAGCTTGAGTACGTATTGATGACAAGATGGTTTGTACCCGGACTTGCTCAGGTTTTGTTTTCTTTATGGCTGATGTCTTTGGACAGAAATTGAATCGATTTATATCAATTTTATGATATGATATATGCACACATGAACGAAGCCTCAACATCAGATACAGTGAAACTCCTCTATAACAAATCCTACATGGGCGAAAATACCCCCTAGTGTGAAAAAAATTTCAGGCATGAAAGCCATTCCCACTTTTCTGCTCCACCTAAGACGAAACGTCCCCCTGTTCCATTATACGAAATCTTTTTCTCTGCTTTTGCCTCGCAACAAGATTCACTACAATGAAAACAAGCCTTCCGCAAAAGTCTAATCCAACCTCAGCATGCCACAGCGACCTCTACTGCTTTGTTCGGAAACGGCAACAGCAACCACCACACTGGTTTACACATGCACAGTCGTCCAGGAAGTATTTGTTATTGTTAGTTTCAGACGCAGCACGAACGTTACATTGCTAAAATGGCTACGAAACGGACCTTAGCAGACCAAGGAGTTAAGAAAAGAAAAGCATTCACGCTTGAAGACAGGATAAAAGTAATAAAAATGAAAGATGGAGGAAGCAAAGTGAAAGACATGCAAGAAATTGATGTAAGTGAAAGTGAATGCAGATTGCAAATTTCGCAATTTCTTTCCCGTTTTTTTTTCTTTCTACATTGGCTATACTAAGTGTCAAATAAGTGTATGCTCATATTTGTGCACTACGTATTGGAATAAAAATAGAGTACACATGTATGTTTTGTGTGTGTGTGTGTGTGTATGTGTGTGTGTTTACATCTGAGATAAAATTTGCTACAGTGAAAAGCCCCCTGTTGTGAAAAATTTCTTGCTGCAAACATGATTTTGTTGTAGAGAAGTTTCACTGTAATGCCATTTTTGGTAGCATTTGTAGACATCTTTAAAGCAAAAGACACTGTAGATGTTTGAAGTTCCCACGTGTGCTTTATCTGGTCTCTAACCAGAATAAAGTTCTTTTAACTTGTTTTGCCAGACAAGGAGCTTGGTTGCGCCTAACTATTATTATGTAACTTTTCACACCCACATGACGCAAAAGAGAGAGTCAGTGAACTCCTAATGGGTTTAATACCTTGCTGAAAGGCACCTTGGTGGTACTCAAGATGCATTTCTACAGGTCGCTATCAACCAATTCTGCTGATTTATGTCAGTAAGGGACCATATTTGCTTTTGGACTGTATCCACGATGGGGTCGCTTTATTTTGTCTCCAGATCAGGTCTGGTTCTCACCGTCCCTAAGCCCCTTCCAAAACAATGCAGAGCACGTACAAGTTGCTGAGATGTGTCATTCTTTATTTTGTCTCCAGATCAGGTCTTGATATCTCACCATCCCTAAGCCCCTTCCAAAATAATGCAGAGCACGTACAAGTTGCTGAGATGTGTCATTGCTTATTTTTATTTTTTTTGGTAGCTCAGACCGACAACAATACTGACTGTTGGGAGTGTTCTAGCAACAAGAATTAAGTTCTCTCAAGTCCCAGGGAAGTGTGAGAAGGTCAAATATTGACAGTGAGGAAAAAGCAAAGGTGAACGACGACCCTGCTTGGTGCCACAAAGCTGTCAGATACAAATCTTGAAAGTCTCTGGAGGGCGGGTGTAAGAAGCTCACTGAATTAAAGCATGGTCAGCTCAGATAAGTAGGATCCAGAGAAGGGTTCAGTAAACAAACAAAAAAAAAAAGGAACAGCATGTCCAATCCACGGTCAATGAACTAGCTTGCAATTGAGCGACCTCCGTACACTTCTCTGTTGGTGCCCCAAGATTGTCACAAACGGTTTCACATCACATTGTAACTCACGAGTAAAACCCTTGATTGCAGATGGTGGATGATGCCAAAAAGCAAAACCTATGACATGGTTTGCTTGGACAAGGTGACAATAGCAAAATGCATTTATAGGTAATGCTGGATTGAAGTATAAATCTGGCGCTGTCTGGTGACTGATGCTGATCCTATACGATATGATTTGTGCAGCCTTCTACAATTAAAGCGAGGCGTACTGCACAAAGCAAACTGGGTAGACGTTACAATCAAAATATAGCACCTGCCATTGTGGTTTTTCCTGCGTTCTAAATTACATGGTGGCCGCCTCCAGCTAATTTTGTGCTGCCCCCAGCCAGACCGACAACACAGCGTAAAGCTCCAGCTGTGCCGATTGAGGGATTGATGACCCTCTGCGGCAGCTTTGTATTTGAACTACATTGCATCATTATGGAGGCGCGATATCAACAGCAGTGCACAGGAAAGACCTGAAACAACTACCGAAGAAGAAACGGAAGTCCCCCCCCGCTAGTCAGGGAATGGTATAAACAGGTAAATATTGTCTGTTTTTCTGCATCCAAGCATGCTGTGTCGGTGAAAATAAGTTTCCTACGTGTCAAAGTAACATTTATGATTTTTAACGCTGCAGATATGGCAGGGAAAATCAGCCATCTTTTTTTTTTTTTTTAAAGCGATCGCCGGGTCTCGGTGAAACAGAGAAATTAACGAAATGGGCAGTTAAAATGTAATAATTCATGGTGGTGACATGTGGAAATTTGGTCTGAAACAATGGTGATGGCGAAGGTCGGAATGCGAGGCTAAATATATTCACCTGGCCCAGGCATACTGGTGACGCACAACACACCTGCTGAGCAAGTGAGATACAGCCGCACACTGCCGAGCCAGAGAAATACAGTATCTGAACTACATACTGAAACAATGCTTAACCATATTTATAATTTTATGTGTAGCTGTGGATGAAATAGCGAAGCCTATGGTAAACAATTTCACAAGAGTTGCACAACTCGCCAGGTACATTCATGCGAATGGTAGTGAGCACTTGCCTTTCAATATTCAACGGACCCACGCTATTCGCGGGGAATTGGGACCGGGGCCAGCGTGCAAATAACTCAAATCCGGGTAAAACTGAAATATACTGTGTGGGGAATTTAAAAAAAAAAAAAAAAAGATTTCGCAAACTTCAATTTCTTCAAAAAAAAATGCAGCTCCAAATTCATTTTGCATTTTCCAAGAGAAATGGGGTGAAAATGGGGGGCTGGGCGACAATAAACCAAAGGAAACAGCCACACGCTGACAATAATTTTGGAGTGGTATGTGTGGTTTCACTTTTTACATGAACACTTTTGGAGTGGTATGTGTGGTTTCACTTTTTACATGATATTAATGGTGGATATTTGTGACAATTAATGTTAAATAGAACTGTGAGTTACACAATGCAATGCAACCATTTTTTTTTTTTTACCGTGCTTCATTTGTCATTTAAATTGAAGAAATGTTTTGTTTGTAACAGAGTCATACTGATTTGATACTTTATGTACAATATACCACTTAATCATGTTACCAAACTCACTGCCACTATGGTTCAATTATGATGGTGACAGTTTTGACTGACTGCTGTTTTAAAAGCCCTATCAAAATTCAAACGGCGTCATTCGATTTACTGTATAACCGCACCATGAGAATGATGTGTAAAAAGAGGCCCTTTAATTGGATTTTTCTTCATTTTTAAAGTTTGCAGGGAGTCAATACGCACCGTGCCTCTAACTTGAGGTTTTTTGGGCTCTGGCGACATCTCTTGCGGGATGAACTTGATCGGTCCTTTGATCTGCCTCCTGGACCTCTTGGTACCGTCAGGTAGTGTCTCCATAGCAATGTCAGCTTCATCGCTGCTCGCCTGGTCACACTCTGAGCATTGCCTGAGAACAACAAGATCATATCACACGATAGAAGTGATTGGCCCAGCAATGGTTCTCAACCTTTTGTTTCCAATGATGTACCCTCTGTGAAACATTTTTCAGCCAAGTACCCCCTAACAAGTGCAAAGCATATTTGGATGTGGTTTAGGGGTGGAAAAAAAAAGGGACTTAAAATAGTGCTGTGCCATCACCGTCTGGTTTATTACATTTGGAACTCCATTTGTAGTTGTAACTTCACAACTATTTGAAAATAAGATAATGATTTTAATTCGAAATAAAGACGTGAGCACACACAAATAAAAATAAATAACAAATAAATCTTAAAATATCCATGTAATACTGTAATGAAAAAGAGTGGCCCGGTGGGCCAGTGATGAGCGCATCGACCTCACAATGCAGAGGTCGTGGGTTCGATCCCGGCTCTGTGTGGAGTTTGCATGTTCTCCCGGGGCCTGCGTAGGTTTTCACCGGGTACTCTGGTTTCCTCCCGCATTCCAAAAACATGCGTGGCATGCGTGACACTAAATTGTCCCGAGGTGTAAGTGTGAGCGCCGATTGGCTGGCAACCGGTTCAGGGTGTCCCCCGCCTACTGCCCGAAGACAGCTGGGATAGGCTCCAGCACCCCTCGCTTTATCCTCACCCCTTGTGAGGATAAAGCGGTTCAGAAAATGGATGGATGGATAATTAAAAAGAAGAATAACATCATTCCTAATTGTCCACACTAAATCTTTCACTGAACTGAGTGCTTTTGCATTTATTGAAACAATTGGACTTGACTGAGAATCATTGTCATTCATGCTGGAAGGGAGGCAACTGCTGTGATCAAGCCGTTTTTTTTTTTCCTCCATTGATGCTACTGTTTTAATAAATTTCAAAATCTCACGTACACCCTGAGGTAGGTGCCCTCAAGTACACCAGGGGCACTCGTACCCCCATTTGAGAACCACTGCTATCGATGATGGTATCGAGTTGTGTGAGTAATGTATAAAGTAGAGAGTGTGTGTGTGTGTGTGTGTGTGTGTGTGTGTGTGTGTTGTGTTGTTACTTCATTTGATGCAACTTACCAGTAGCTGTTCTTGGTCTTCTTGGGCATGCGTGTCAGTGGTGGTTCCAGACAACCCAAATGATAGTAGAGTTTGCAGGTGTCACACAGCACGAGCAAATGTTGGTCTTGGTTCTTCTTACAGATGCCACAGCTGTCAGCACAGGATGTTGTTTATGAGTAACAGCTGTTCACATTGGTAATTATGAAGATATAGAATGTAGCAAATAAATTCAACAAAAAATGTCTTCCGGTAAATGTGAAAGGAGACCTGCCTTGGTCAAAAGACAGAACAACATGGTTAGTTCTTTGGAGTCTCTTCAGAAGGTTTAAGAATTGCTCTGATTCATCATATTGATTGTGTCTACCGAAAGCGAATTCATTTTGGGGAATGTTGAGCCCTAACAGTTCAGTGAATGCTGAGTGTATTATCAACACAGATTTCTGTATTTTCCGCACTATAAGGCGCTTTGGAGTAAAAGACGCACCTTCAATGGATGGTGTATATTAAAACCGTTTTCATTTCAAGAGCGCATCGCATTATAAAATGCAGAGAATAGAAGCTACAATTGTGGCTGCAGTTGCGATATTGCATACACTAGTTCGAGCTCCGCTGAAGGGAATAAAATGCAATACATCTTTATTTATGTAGAGCTTTTACAACCGCTGCAGCGGGAACAAAGCGCTTTCCAGAACATTTCAAATACTACGTCCAAGAAATCGGAATATTGATCCATGTATAAGGTGCATCGGATTATAAGGCGCACTGTCGGCTTTTGAGAAAATTGAACGCTTTTAGGTGTGTCTTATAGTGCGGAAAATATGGTTATAAACTCCTAATATGTGGTCAGTTCTAAACATTTTTCATTGACCCACCGAGCAAGACAACTACAGTGCAGTGACAAAGTTTTGCTCACTTCCAACGTGTTTTATTTTTAGACATGCCCCACCCCACTTAAAATGTTTCATATTATCAAACAAATTCAAATATTAAACAAAGTTAACCAAATTAAACACAAAAAGTAGTTTCGAAATGATGATTTAGTGCTTTAAATGGGAAAAGCCAACCAATTCTACCTGGTCCTATGTGGAAAAACGAATTGCACCCTTAAAAGTGGCTCATCCCATTTTTTTTTTTTGAAAAGTTGAGTTTGATTTCATTGACGAAACCTAAGCCCCAAGACTACTTAAGCCAAAAGGTCTCAAAAAGCTGAACTGAACTGTCAGTAATTTGTAAAGTAAAGAAATTTCATGTGAATGATTTTTTTTAGGTTCAAATGACTTTTTTTAATGTTATATAACTAATATCTAGATCGTTAGTCATTAGTAATTAGACCTTAAACTTGAAAACAAGCTAAATGTGCACAAATAATAGTAAGAGGACAAACACTTTTTCATGTTTGAAGTTCATTTACCAGACATTCAAACAGCATAATTTAAAACAATGTCGCCAAAAGGGGAAAAAAAAAATACAAATCAAAATCTCAACAAATTGCGTGAAAATCCACCATAATTAGCATGAACACCATATTCCAAATTGCTGTACACAAACGGAAAATGGCAAGATGTCCTGTTGTGTCATACCGCTGGTACTTGGTATTTATAAAGTAGGTGAACTAGGATTCCAATGTGTGCGATTTTCTCACCTGTAGAGAATTGCTGGCAGGCTGGATGGCTTCCCTTGAGTTCCCCCCTCTTTTTTGCTCGACTTCCTCTCTTTGGGGGCTTTTAGAACAGCTGGAGTGTTTAGTTTCTGAGGAAGGCGGGAGAAACACATTGTTCTGACGCATAGTTCCAAACGTCGGCATGTAACATCCATGAGCCGCAGTCCTGCACTTGAAAATGTCCTTCGTGGAGACGAAATGTGCCAGATTGAAAATGTTTACAACCTTTCCAGCAGAGTGACATATATATTTTGGTGGAAAAGAAAGACTATTATACGTGAGTTTTTTTCCTCCAAGTTTTCAAAAACCAAATTGTCTTCAATTTACGTATTTTCCGTATTATAAGTGGCAGTTTGGAGTGACACTGAGTTTGGTAAACTTGTTCGCATATTCTTTATGCTATAGTTATCTGAATAACTCTTAATATGTTACGTGAACATACCAGGCATTTTCTCAGTTTGGTGTTTATCCGTCATGTAACATTAGCATATCGTACACTTATTCAGCCTGTTCTCTATGTTTGTTTTGATTTGCCTTTCAATATGACATGTCTGTTCTTGGTGTTGGATTTTATCAAATAAAATTTTCCCAAAAATGCGACTTATACTCCAGTGCGACGTGTACGTTTTCTTCTTTATTATGCATTTTATGGCTCGTGTGACTTATACTCAGGAGTGACCTATAGTCCTTAAAATACGGGAACAACAAAGCACCTTAGCTCAGTCCCTCTTTACCAACAAGGTCCGTTATATAAAATTTTCACCGGTATGTTAATAACCTAGGCTGTTAGTATGTGTGAATAAAACAAACGTGTCAATGACTAAGGGACCCTTATTGCAAACTGTGGTGCAAAAACAATTGACAAAAGTGTAGAATTTGGATGGAAAAATAACTCTCTCTCTCTTTTTCTTTCTTAACTCTCGATCCGTGGGAACATTTTTTTCCTCATTCTGCAATTAGTAGCATATGCTTGTCACTATTATTTTTTTTAAATTGTCTCTTTTATGTTTTTACAACCTCAATTTTGCTCTATTGTATTTTCTGCCATGTGAATTCTAACCGATCTGACAGACAAATGCTCATTTTGTAGCAAAGTCAATGACGATATCTATCTACAGCGCGTGACTCCACCTTTCCTTCACCTGTTCTCTGCTTTCACTGCAGACAACGTCATCTTCTAACACCAAAAGTACACCTCACCATCGTTCTGCTGTCCTCATACATATCCTGTACTATTCTGCCACTCCAGACTTCTTCAGGCAGTGCCACAGTTCCTTCTCTGGGTACCCAGTCATCGGCTTTCTCTAGATCCACCAAGAAAAAAAATACAGCTCCTTCTGACCTTCTCCACCATCAACACCCTAAAGGCGAATAATGCACCGTGGAACTCTTCCTTGGCATGAAACCATAATGTTGCTCACAAACAATTCTTTCCTCGAGTCTCGCCTCCACTGTTCTTCCCCATAATACTCCACTTACTGTCCTGATTATAAAGCCAAGACATGAATTGCAGCAGATCGGAAGACATGCAGGCGTACAAGGTGAGATGTCAGAGTGAAGAAGAGCACAAAGAGCTGCGCGACTTGGGTGAGGAGCGTGAGAGTGGGGTGATGTCTTTGTTCAAGAGTCCCTGGAAAGGAATGTGGAAGCAGGCCAGCATATTTCCAAAATCTAGTTGCCTTTTTTATATTGTTGTTGGTGACAGGACTCAAACCTTGGCTCTGTGATTCCAATGCCGAAATCGCTACACAGATGATATCTTACACCGTAAATGTAATTATTGTCAATAAAATTATTTTAGATGTGACAAACGACCCTCCAAAGAATCATGAATTCTTTCAGGGAACCTAGATGTGCTTTGTGGGGACTTGGATCCCACTGACTCTCAACCAAGTTGAACTGTGAGCATGAAGTACTGTACGCCAACACTGTCGCAATACCTTGACGATCTTATTGATTTTTAAAAGCCTCTTATTTCACAAGCGTCCAGTGACCCATCATACACAATGATCCTTATTGGTTATTGGTTGCCATAGAGGTGAAGAGAAATGCGTTTTTACAAGTTGGCAGTTCCAACTGGATATGTGTCACGCCAAGCAACCGAAAAAAAGTTTCATACAGAAATAAACAAACATGACAGTGGCGTGAATACTGTAAAATGTAGCTATTCTTTCTTGTAAGTCTGTATTGTAAAAAAATCAGTCATGGGGATGGAAATGCATTAAGATGATGGATGTTTCGTGTGAAAAGGTGGTGCAGGTACCTGGCCAAGGATGTCCCCAAGTAGAGTCCACATAGCATGGCCTTCACTTCGCAGATCTCCATTGACATTTAGCAGCTCCTCCAGAGATTCGCAGAGCTTCAAACATTCAGGCACGACACAGGAGAAAACATTAGATCAGTAGTACAGCACATGTAATTCAATCTTCCAATAATTTCAGTGCTCTATGGGTTGCATCCACTACATCTCTATGCCCTAACAACAATTACTGTAATTTTCAGACTATAAATCACACTTTTTCATAGGTCCTGTGAAATACTTGGGTACGACGATATTAAAATTAGACCTTGGACTGGCAGCCAAAATCCCTCTTCCCTAATTGTGTTGACTTTGCTTTGACAAATACTTAAGTGCATCCAGCACATTCTAGTTAAGATAAGCCATTTTAAACTAAAAAAGAAAACTTTTCTATAGTTAGAAGCAGAAGTTTCATCCAACAGGAACTTGTTCGCTCTAGTGAACATGGGGTGCGTTCGAAAATTCACTTGACACCCAAACCCACTCTGAGAGTGTGTGTGTGTTCGAAGAGGCAATGAAGCCCCCCCCTCCCCCGTCTGCCCATTGATTTCTAAATGCAGCTTATGTTATAAGCCAATCAGTGGCTTGTGCTTGACCCGTTTCCATTTGTACTGTAAGGTGCACTGGGTTGCGGCACTCCTTTTTTGGGGCACTCTGAATAACCAAATGGCACATTTGAACAACACTCTGTGTTTCTGAACAGTCAAGGTGAAGCAAAGCATGCTCGCAGAGTATTTCCAAATGCATCCTTGATTAGGGAACGGGGATAAGTCTGAGCTCTACTGTTTTTGGTTGCAGTTTTCCTCCCAAAATGTGACATGCTGTCGAGCAGTGGTTCTTAACCTGGGTTTGATCGAACCCCAGGGGTTGGGTGAATCGGTCTCAGGGGTTCGACGGAGCCTTTGCCATGGAGAGTGCGACACACCCGACTCAACATGTCAGTTAGTTATGACACCCGCTTGGCCATCGCTGGCTACAGATGATCACATGACATTGCTTGTCCAGTCAGTGCTGTGGGAAATTTAGTTCGCTTAGTAGTCAACGTGTGACTGTCGTGACTGTACGCCGTACAATAATAAAAAAGAAAAAAAAAAAGAAAAAAAGAAAAAGCATACTTATCTCTTGAAATTTTACTTACTTTTTTCTGTTTTTAATAAATGAGTTTTTTTTAATATCTTGAATTTGGAAAAAAAAATATATATATTTTTCACTCATGAAGGGTGAATGTGCATATGAACTGGTTGGGTTCGGTACCTCTGAAAAGGTTACGAACCACTGCTCTAGATAAAGGCCACCAGGACCAAACACCATAACTTCAATTTTTTTTTTTCATAGAAATTCAAGAAAATCAGTGCCATCCAGTCCTTGATTTCCTTTGTATAGGGTAAAATTGGCCACAATGAAAAAGCGTCTTTTTTGCTCAGTGGGGCGCAGATCTGTCAGTCATCTTGATGGCAGTGGAAGGAAAAAAAAACATGTTTTCTTAAGATGGAACCCAAAGGTAGCAGATACAGGGAGCAGAGGCCCCAGATAGGAACCCTGTGTAACACCATATGACAATGGGGCAGTGCTGGACTCAGAGAAATGAAGTCAGTCAAATAGGTTCGAAACCACTCAAGAGTGCTACTACTCATGTCCTCTTGGTGCTGCAAACAAGCCATTAGAATACAGTGGTCCATCATACCGAACACCGCAGTTAGAACAAAACAAGACACACACAGTCTCCAGTGTCATTAGTCACGAGGATGTCATTAAGAAGCTTGTAACAGGGCTGGATGGAAAACCTCAACAGCATTATGTTCACAGCAGGGGAGCACATAACTCCCAACTCTGGCAAACCCTTCACTGGCTCCCACTACATTTCAGAATTTTTTTGAAGGTTCTTTCATTGGTTTTCAAAGTTTTAAATGGTCTCGCCCTACTTGACCTCTCTGTGCTCCTCCTCCCCTGAGCACCTGTCCAGTGCCTCAGGCCAGCCGACCAGATGCTACTGGAGGTACTGAGGACTAAGCGGACGCTGAGAGGGGAGCAAGTTTATTCCATTGCCGGTCCCTCTCTGGAATGACCCTTGTCTTAAAACACATTTTTATTCTTTGGCTTTTGTCTCAGCATGAGATTCAGGCTTGTTTTCGAGTTTAGAGGTGTTTTATAGAGATGGGCTGATGAATCCTTGCGAAGCTTTTGAGGTCTTTGCATTGATTTAGGAAAAAGAGTAAAAGCCTCAAACCCTGATAAAATCGACCACACAAGTGACATTTGGTGGTCAGCGAGTGTCATAGCAGCTTTGATCCTCTAAGTGGGGGGTCGGCAACTCGCGGCTCCAGAGCCGCATGCGGCTCTTTAGCGCCGCCCTAGTGGCTCCTAGAAAGCTTTTTCAAAAATGTTTGAAAATGGAAAAAGATGGTGGAGGGAAATATAATTTTTGTTTTAATATGGTTTATGTAGGAGGGAAAACATGACAAACATTCTTAACGTTTTCTAATGCTGTAAATATGTGTAGAATAAAATTTCAACACTTCTGTCAATGAACATTTGCGTCACAGCTTGCGACACACGTTTCTATGAGCAGGGCGGGATGCCAGGCAGGTGGCTGTTGCAAAAAAAAGACAATAAAAAAAACAACGGCCTTTCATGTACAATTCACCGAGGGAACTGACAAAGAATGGGAATCAGGAGGGCCGATAGAAGCATTTTAAACGGTACACGTGAGCTACGTAGTTAACACGCTGCAAAAGTACGCCGAATGCCTCTGCGTCTGGTCTCGATGAAGGTAGGTCGGCATGCGTGTGTAAGTACATCCGTATGCGCGCGTGGGCAGTAACGGGTCGAAACCCGGGAGGTTGGTTAATCAAAAGTAGATCTTCGGTCAAAAAAAGGTTGTGCACCCCTGCTCTACAGGATGCAGTGCAGGGAAAAATATAGTATTTGTCGCCAACTTGGTCATTTTGATAGTAGGCTAATATAGCTAATATCGATACATACAGCATGTGTTGCCTCCATTACAAGGCTTATAGAAGCCTTTTGTTTTTTTGCGGCTCCAGACATATTTGTTTTTTTTTTTTTGTCCAATATGGATCCTCCAACATTTTGGGTTGCCGAGTCCTGCTCAAAGTAATTGAATTTAAGTGAATTGATTTGTATTGTATGTAATGATCATCATTTACATACTGTCTGCAAGGGTTGCAACACTGTGACACTGTACCAGTAGTATGGTTCAATGTCATGTCCTGTCACCCCAGTAGATCTGAATAAAAATGATTTGGATATGACACTGTGTTGTGAAGCAAGATGACAATATCTCAACATAAGTCGTCAAATCGTCTTGTTTTTTTTTTTTCCATGCACAGGCACAGGGGATAAAGAGCCCCTTTGGCATACAATAAGAAAAAAAAGTTGCATTCCCTTGCAATCATTCAGAGATAACACAATCTTTGCGAGGGAACGCAAAATGGTGCTTCTTTTTTGTTCCATGTCACCTTAGGGCCTCCGTTTTGAGGGTGTTGCGGGTTTGGCGTCTCCTTTTGGCAGTCGACAGTGTGACGCAGCCCCAAATATTTGAATCAGTTACGTTCTTTCTGGTGTCTCATTGCCGTGCATGAAGCCTCACACGTCGTCAGGACATGACAGATGTGAATTGAGTCATCATTTTCGATATTAAAAGCAGGACATACTGGATAGAAACCTTGAGTGCAAACACCAAACTCGAGATACACATGAAGTAAACGCTGTGAATAAAGTAAAAGAAAAATTTGTGGGGGGAGGATGACATTTTTGGTTTTTAAGTTTGTAAAAAGTTACCGGGAAAACAGCTAGTTTCAGATGTTATTAACTTTCATTTTATACATTTGTAATACGAATGTCTCACTGCTTTGTGGGAAGTACTAATCACGTTTTTATCACAACTTCGTTTGAGCAAATCTAATGCCGTGTATAAATCATCTAACTTGAAAGTATTTTAGGGTAGTAAAGTGACTGCTAAAAAAAAAAAAAAAAAAAAAAAAAAAAGCTAGAATTGACCTTTAAATTGTGATTCATTTTGTTAAATCAACAACATACGCAATTGATTGCTTGATAAAAACCGAATGGTTTAGGTTGTCTGCTCACCTTGTTGTACTCCACGTGCAGTTTGTCTTGCTCATTCTCCAGCTTGTCTTTTAAGCTCTTCTGTTCAGAGATGTTGTCCTGGATCTGGATCATTCGCATATTACGCTCTGAATACCATTGGGACAAAAATCAAGAGAAAAAGTATCGTTTATTAGCCTAAAAATCCATACCAAGTGTACCAATGGCAGAAAGGCATTTTATTTCTTATACAATTTGTATACTTGTAATGTTCTCAGATATGGCATCTCTGCCTCATCTGGCACCATAATCACAAATTTAAGGGGGGAAAAACATTTTGTGAGACAAGAATTAATTACATTTGGAAATCAAGACTCCACAAGCTACACAGAATAGTAAGCTCAAAGCAAACGAAGCCCTGCACCATCAGTTTCTTTGATATTATAATATCTTGATTATAGTTAGGTCCACAAGTATTTCAACATTGACTGTGTGTTTTGTTTTTAATTACTTCTACAAACAAAATGATGATAATAAACAAAACAAAAAAAAAACCGGTGTGTTCATACAAGTACTTCAACACGGAATAACATTGCCGGGACTTTGGAAGTACCATATTTTCTTACCTAAGTAGTAATTGACAAAGTCCGCGGTGAGCGCGGGCTGCTTGTGTTTCCGCCGACCATCCATGCTCGCATTGGTGTCAGATGTGTCCACCGGGAAAATGTCTGTGCTGATCCCCATTAGCTCTGCCTTTCTCATTAACTTCCTGATGGCTGAGGCACTAGAGGTCAGAGGTCGCGGCAGCTTCTCCCTTGGCACCCACGCTTGAGGTCGGGTGTTCCTGGACAACTCTGCTTTTGTGCGGTATTGTTGCAGGCGGGTTGTGATTCGGGCCTGTGGGCGCAAATGCAGAAGCCATATAGTGTTGTTTATCCTCTGCTGGAGGGACTTACATAACATCAACTATCTGCCATCATACCTGAGCTTCAGGAGTGAGCTGTTTCTCTCTCTCAAGCAGAGACACCTTACAGTAAGACTGCAAGGCCAAGTAGTTTTTTCTTTTCCACTTCCTATCAAAGCGATCTGCATGCTGCTTGCAGTAGGCAAAAAATGGATCTGCAATATCCTATTGGATCACAAAATATTGACATTAATTTGAATGTTACAAATACATAAAAATATAAGTGCAGTGGTACCTCTACTTACAAACGTCTCTTCATACGAAATTTCCAAGTTACAAAATGCCTTAACTGGAAAATATTGCCGCTTGTTATGAAAGAAATTTCAAAATATGAAAGGTACAAATACAGTGTGGCCTGCTACTCGCAGTATGTTGCGTTCAGGGTTTCCTGAACGCAACATACTTATAGCTGCTCTGTCATTGGCTACTACGGAGCATCATCCTGGCATCCCATTGGCTAAGAGGGACCTCTACCACATACGTCTATGTGTGTCGATGGATAGATATGTGTTCATACAGCGTCCTTGTCATTCCCCCTCGGGCAATAGTCTTACGTAAATGTGAATCACCCAGAAAAAGTGTTGACCAGTCCGGCGATCGCTCACTGTGCTGATGTTTGCCTTGGACATTTTCGAAGGATTGTTGAAAGCCGACAAAAGCAAACGCCCTTGGATCAGTTCTTTACAAAACGCCAGGCAAAAACCATTTCTGAGAGAGAACATGAACTAAAGAGGGCAAAAACCGATGAGGAGGCAGTTACAAGCTAAATGACCATCATTTTTATTCTTTATTCTTTTTTTTTTCATGATGGATTGTGCAATAATCTAATTGTAAAATGTATTTGTTATGTATTTTGATGCATTTTTATTCTTTAGAAAACATTTATGTCAGAATTTTTGGGGGGCATGGAACGGATTAGGGCATTTACATAGAAAACGCGTCTCTACTTTTAATTTTCTCGTTACGAAATTTCTTCCAGAACCAATTAATTTCATAAGTCGAGGTACCACTGTAGATGGGATGGTATCTTTTTGCTTGCCTGGTGGAATCCTCACATCTCCAAAACAAACTCCCTTTACAAGAAACAACCCCCCCCCCCGACATATTTGGTGGCATGCCATTAACATTGCGGGGAGCGATGTCTGGAGGACCTTGGAAATGGCAGCACATTTGATGCAATCCCATCCTCCACCACTAATGAACTCTTAACTCTCCATAAATGTTTGCTTGCCACAATGTGTGAGTTGTGATGGGATTCGGTGGTGCTCACAACACAATGGACGAGGGAAGATGTGGAACTACGCCCGTATAAGAAAGCTAACTCTGCTCATCACACTAGCACTAAAACTAATCCAAAAAAGTGACGGGGATCTCTTCACAGAAATTACAAAAATGAGCACGACTTTCAATAAGGTGCTAAGCGACGGCGACCAAGTCAAAGACTCCAGAACGGAGTAGAAACTGCAAAAATTGTCTGGATGAAGCGGTAAATTGAAATTTGAATGTGGATAGCAACACTAGAATGGCTAACAAAAACACGTGATGGCAGAAAGTGCAACAACTACGGAGCTGTTTTAACGCCCAGGAAAATTGAGGGAGACAAAAAGAATGAACTGATTGGACTGAAATATGGAAAAGAAGCAGCCAAGACAATTGATGACTATTGGAGAGAAGATACTGTGTGATGGCTGCAGAGGGAGAGGAGTGACAGAAGTGACTTGACAAGGATAACCGGTCAGGCAGAATGATGGTCGAGGCTTTTAGGCGAAACAGTCCAACACTGGCAGCGATGGAAACAGTGGGAGTTGCACGCCTATCTTGGAGAATATGACCAAGGAGTGGTCCAATACGCAAAAACGGTTCTGCCCACTGATGAAAGTGTCGTGGGAGCCTCAGGTGAAACATAACTTGAACAACCGCCGTTCGAAGATTCATGTAGAAGTGGAAGCATTATTGACCCAAAAAAGCCTGAGGACTTAATTCAGGAAAATAGATGGAGTTAGGTGAACAATTGACTGAGTTAGCGATTGGCTGGCAACCAGTTCAGGGTGTACCCCGCCGACTGCCCAAAGACAACCGGGATAGGTTCCAGCACACCTGCTACCTTCGTGTGGATAAGTGGATCAGAAAATGGATGGATGGATAATTATATTCGCAAGATGGAAATGCAGCTTTGTTTTGAGGACCGGGTGAAGACAGAGACTTTGGGTTCTGATGTGACCGGGTGGTTGAACTGAAGAAATGTCTTGGGGACCTACAGACTGGAATCAGATGACGCTAATCTTGTTGTACAACACTGTCTTGTTTATTTTGGAGGCAGTGATTTTCTTTGAGTTTCTGTTTTGGGTTGTTTTTAATTTTCATTGTGGTCAGGCATGAGTATTTAAGGACTTGGTTTCTGCAAAGTTAGTGTAGGGCAGTTCTGGCTGTCACTGCAGCTGCGTAAGATTTCGAGATACTGCTTCTTAACTGACATACCACCCTTTGAATTGCATCACACATCCCATAGATAATGACACAAACTCAAACATAAGATTTGTCAGTCAAAAAATTAACGGTTTATGTGTGCTCTCCACTGGTGCAGGGTGTTCTTGCCTGAACCTGATATCTTTTTGCAGGAGACCCATATGAGGAACAAAGACCAGGTCAAAATGAAATACCCAGGGTCACTGAATTATTGCATTCTAGTTTCAACTTTCAGACCAGAGGGATCACCACTTTGGTCAACAAATCAGTTCCTTTTACAACGACAAATGTAATTTCTGAGAGGAATGGCAGATACCTGAGAGTTTTGGGAACTCCATTTCGAATGCCTGTCCTACTAGTTAATGTATATCCACCAACTTCTGACAATTCTTCGATTATGAATAGGTTGTCTGAAGGTGTGCCCTCCCTGAGTGACTCTTTTGTTATTTTTGGAGGGGACATGAATTGCACCATCAATACTCAATTGGACCGTTCTGAACCTGGTGCAACCCAATCACTGATGGTTAAGGCTCTTTGTAATTTAATATTCGAAAATGGGTACGTTGACCCTTGAAGGTTTTGTAATAATATCAGCAGGTAATACTCTTTTTCGCTCAGGAGGACCAGACCTTTTCTTGAATAGATTATTTCTTTGTTGGTTGCCGAAAGTGACAACTATTACGTATAATCCAATTATTGATAAGGAGCATGAGACTTGATCATGAGTTTCCCCCTAGACATCTCTATGCCATCCATTGGCGATTTAATAAATCAATGCTATCTAATGACAAATTTCATGTACTGTATTGCAGGTGCATTAGAGGACTCTATCGCTACTAATGACAGTCTATACCCATCTCTAGTGTTACTGTGGCAATCTTTAAAAACGTATTTACTTGGTCACATAATTTCATATTCCGCAAGCTTGAAAGAATTTTAGATATCAACTGCTTGCAGCCACCCCATCGAATGATTTTTCAAAGTGTCGTATTTTTCGTTCACATACTTTTTCTTGCAACTGCATATATAACAATGAGGCGTGTTGGTTCACATGTGTTCTAGTTACTATGAACATGGGTATGAGTCTGCGAGGTTACGAGCTCAGAAATTTCGTCTTCAAGCAGTCTCATGCTTGATACCACACATTGATGATGCGAGAAAGGGCACTGCATGAGGACCTAACTATTGCTGAAGGGGAAAGTCAAGTCGAAAATGTTGAAAATACATTATATGCACCCCCCACTAGTCTAAACACGGTATTCTGATTTATCGAGCATGAAACTGGATTAAGCAGAAAATTTCGCCCTTTTGTAATCCATCTCAGGGGTCTGCCATTTTGCCTTGGATGCCTGATAACTGAAATTGACATCACAGTGCCCAACAGCTCATGTCAGGACCATCACTTCTCACCTGTTTTCTCTGTTTGGTCATGTGACATTTGCACAGCTCACTATTGTTTACTACTTTTTTTAGCCTGCTAGGTTACGAGCATACCCGAGGCAGAGTCTTTCGACTTTGTTACCGCCATATGCCATGGTTCGTTTGTGGGTCCCACATAAGAGACACATTTCAAGGAAAGTTAAGAGCGCTTGGCATGTTTTCAGTGCATTCAGCAGACATGGCCGTCGCAACAGACAGTTCAGAGGAGGTCTCTTCTAAAATTTGGACCCTCATTTTGAATACCTTTTTCAATTAACTCAAACTTGGCAGTGTTGTTAAATTGCCAAACAGTTGTCCAATTGATAAGGCACGTATTTGCAATTGAAGAGAATTGAATTAGGTTTCTAGTTAATTTATTAAATTCTTCATTTTCTTCACATGAAATATGATAAGACTGTTTTTTTTTGTTTTGTTTTTTTCATACACTTCTTTTCCCCACCTCTTCTGCAGCAGCTTCTGACAGGAGCCCCTCTTTCTGTGCGCACGTGACATGGAAGTAGGACCGACACATTCCTGCATCACAGCTGATGCACACACCAGTCCTGGCAAAGCGGTTATCTTCGCAGAAACTGCATTCCTAAAAGAAAGAAAAAACACTTGCTCTTGATTACATTCAAACAAACAAACTGCACTCTCTCATCTACTCTTGGTTAAGTTTGTCCAAGAAGGAATATACAAAATGAAATCAATTCGCAAAGACAAAGTGAAACAGTGAATGAATTATCTGATAGACCATCTGGATTTGCCATGTAAATGTATTTGCCCTATTGATGATTTTATTTTTTGCATATTAATCTCACTTAAATGTTTCAAATTTTCAAACCAATTTTAATATCTTGCGAAACTAATCCAAGTAAATATAAAATGGACCGTATTTTCCGTACTATAAGGCACACCTAGAAGCATATAATTTCTCAAAAGACTGCTGTCTCAGCCAAACGCTCACAACACTCTTGACTTTCAAACTTCGTGCCTCTCGTGATTGCTTTTAAGGGACCAAAGAGGTGAAAGTCTGAAGGGGCAAGGTCTGGGCGCTGCAGTCAGATTCAACAAAACATAAAAAACGGAGCAGTTCCCACCCCAGCTTGTTGATGGTCTGCACCGTTCAGGCTGTTGTGTGAGGCCTTAGTATGTCATGATCCAAGATGACTCCTTCCGACTGATGACCCCTGTGTTTGTTCTTTATGTCTTTCTTGACCTGCCTCAGGAGTTCACAGTAGATGGCACCTAGTTTGAAAGTGAAGATTGTATCGTATTCCCTTTAGTGTAGCTCCATCCAGTGGACGCATAACGCAACCGCAGCCACTATTGAAGCTTCAATTCTATGCGCCTTATAATGCGATACGCCCGATATATGAAAACAGTTTTGAAATAGGCCATTCCTTGAAGGTGCTCCTTATACTCCAAAGCGCCTTATAGTACAGAAAATACGGTCATACAAAAAAAAAGGATTTTTTGTGAAAATAAATGACATTGGATCATTTTCCACAGCACACCTAATGATCTCTCACGGCACACTGGTTGTGAATGACTGGATTTATCGCTGCACCCCTACTGCAGACTAAGCATTAAAAAGACCTGTGGACAGTTTTTTTTTGGGGGGGAAAAAAAATTGCTGTTTTTAACATCACACAAAGTGGAGTTGCAGAGTTGCCCTTGTAAAGAAGCCTTTGTAGGGCAATGTACCATTCAGTGGAAAATTCCTCATGAATATTCTATTCAGCTGTAAAGAAGTAGGGTGCTTGCGGGGGACTGTGTGTCAGAGAACCACTAATCTGGCAGTTAATTGCGGCATTTACAAAAGAAAGGTGGTTAACTGTAGGCTTTTTAACTTGAAACCACACAGCCTTTTGATTATTTCATAGAAGGGGGAAGAAAACCCCAGACTTTGCGTTAAATGTTGCACACACAGCATTCATTGCAGCCTGGCCATCCTGGAAGGTGGATTCCCCCCATCTGCGGTACCTTCTCAAAGTTTCTTCCCCCCCTGAGATGTTTTTTTAATGTTTTCTTTGCCCTACTGTGGGGTGAAGATCAGGGGATGTTGGTCATATTTGTCAACTGTGGGCAGGTGAAGTCCTTTGAGACTCAAATTGTGATTCAGGGTAGGGCTGTACAATATATCGAAAAAATATCGCGATGCTGGCCCATGCAATATGCATACTGCAAAAATGTGCAATAAATGTCATATGGAACTGTGTGCTTTTATCTGCCTTTGACCAGTCAGATGCAACTCTAAAAGCTCATCTGCATCTAGTAGGTGAATAGTATCTGAGGACATTACAAATAATTAGCTAAGAATATAAACAGTGGTGTCATCAGCAAAACGTACACATTTGAGGAACTCTGATAGCTGACAGATGGCACTCATTTACAAAATAAATAACATTGGCCGAGGAGTGATCGCCTTGTACATTTATTTGAGATGTCTTTGCAAGACATTCAATTTGCTTAATCTGAAACATGTGAAAGTGTGAATGCATGGAAAAAAAATATGAAATCAGAAAAGGAAAAAATGCTTTTTCACAGAATTGGACATCAACATGGAAAATGACTTGCCTTGGCCCCATATTTTGAATAATTCATCTCTGTGAGAGTCACCGGTCGTAGTTTATCGATGTCTCCAAACGCAACCCCGGGAACGTATAGTGCGCATACCACATGCACCCATCTGTAAAGATTGAAGAACAAAATCAAAATAGCTGAAACTTGCGAAGAGAACCTATAAGTCAAATGTACAACTGTGTGGAAGCATATTGTTTAAAAAGATGGCGGAAAATAATCAGATTATTTTTCTTTTAGACCACAATGTCAAAGTGCCGGCCCGCGGGCCAAATCCGGCCCGCGAGAATGTTTTCAGTGGCCCCTGGGATGATATTGATTTATTATTAGAACCAGCCCGCGGACCGCAGCAAGCCGAGAGCCCGCAGATCTTTTACACGCACCAAAACTACATTTCCCACAATGCAACGGTGACGCGCCAAGCAGTCGGCCGCTTTATTTAAATATTGATTCGTCTAGCAGTCGTTCCCATAACAGTGACATTAGCTTTCAGATACCCATCAAAAATGGCAAAACGGAAGGTGGACACTGAGAACCGGGGGTTTCAAACAAGGTGGGAGTCGAAGTACATGTTCACGGACGTAGCTGGAAAACCTGTGTGTCTTCTGTGTGGAGAAAGTGTGGCGCGATTGAAATAGTGTAATCTGAGACGACATCATGAAACGAAACACGCAAACAAGAACATGGACATGGAGGGGGAAGGGGGATTTCATTAAAAACGGTATACTTAAAGTTTGTGACGAAGTTTACCCCGAAAAAAAGCAACTCTTTTTAAACGTGAGCATTAGCAGAAACACAATGGCAGTGTTTC